CGAGGATGATTTCTCAGTGGAAGTAGAATTATGCTGCAAATGGATAGAAGGAGTGCCAGGAGGGGAATTATACGGTGAGCCATTAGATGAATCCTCATGAGGATTATGACCCACAGGAACTTGAGCTAGCACATTCTCAAATGGTGGCAGACTAGCTAGGAATTCAAGGGAGTTCTCACCAGAGAGCTTGTCAACTGGATAATGCATGACTTGCTCTAAGAAAATCACGTGACACGATATACACATGCGACGAGCAACTGTACCATAGCATAGGTAGCCCTTATGTTGATCACTATATCCGACAAAAACACATCTCACAGTCTTTGGATCAAGCTTACTCCGCTCCTTCTTTGGGAGAAGAACGAAGCATACGCATCCAAAAACTCGCAGCAAAGAGTAATCAGGCTGTTTGTGATACAACATATAGTATGGGCAATGATTTCCGATCGTCAAGGAAGGCTGGCGGTTTATTAAATAAACTACAGTTTTAACCGCTTCGACCCATAAACCGCGTGGAATACGAGAGTGAAAAAGCAGTGCCCTAGTGAGCTCGAGAACATGTCTATGCTTCCTTTCCACAAGTCCATTCTGCTGAGAGACACCTGGACATGACTGCTGAGATACAATGCCCTACACCTTGTAGAAGTCAGTTAACTTATTCGTACTAAATTCACCTCCCGGATCAGATCTAATAACCTTTACAGTAGTCTTGAACTGGGTCTGAATCATACGAACAAATTTCTGAGCAAAAGTAATAAGTTCTGACTTCTGACGAAGGAAATAAACCCAAGTATATCGTGTTGCATGGTCTATGAAAAGAGCAAAGTAGCGATAACCCATACGAGAAATGACAGGGGATGGGCCCCATAAATCTGTATGCACCAAGTCAAAAGTAGATTCATAGATCGTAGTACTAGAAGTGAAGGAGGATTGAGAAGTCTTGGCTTCTATGCAACTAACACATGTAGACGGTGTCATAGAAACCGAAGAATCCATACGATCTGGTAATAAATTATTCCGAAGCATACTATATAACTGAGCAGTATGAGGATGACCCAACCGACAATGCCATAAATCCCAAACTGAAGCCTTAACTGAAAAATCCAATGGCTTTACTGAACATCCTAGCAAACCATTACAAGACTGACTACTACTCAAAACATAATGTCTCTCGCCTTGTTCTGAACCTTGCGGCAGCCCCCCAGGAGTTTGCTTCTGGTACTGGTTCAACACAAAAATCCGACCTTGCTTACTTCTCGTCCCTATCACCTTCCCTGTCATCTGATCCTGCACAACACACCCATCTGAATTAAAGGTGACTTCACACCCTTCATCAGCTAACTGACCCACCGAGACAAGATTAGGGACCAACTTCGGAACATAAAATGTATTAGGAAGAATCACTCCAGGAGTAACTGCAGTACCAGAACCATGAACAGGGATGCTCGCACCATTAGCTACTTGTAAATTCAATGGTGTTGTAGGCTTGATTTCAGAAAAATGAGTGGGCGAGTTTGTCATATGATTAAAAGCAGCAGAGTCAAGAAGCCAACTAGAACGTTTACTGACGCAGCTCCTGTGGCAAAGGCTGAACTTAACGCGGCAGGTAGAGCCTCATGAAGAGCTTCTTGAACCAATCGACGAACCATATCGGATGACAGAGAAGTACCACTCCCCCAATGAAGCGAATCGCCAGAGCTGGGTGAGGTTGGACGAACTGCATAACTAGGGCCAGACGCCCGAGCAGGTGCACCACCACCAGACCTATCTCCACGACGCCCAGGACCCCTTCTTCGCAGGACACTTAGAGATAATATGTCCCTTCTGCTTACACTAGTTACAAAAGTTTCTCTTCGGACACAAGGGCTGAATATGACCGGGTTCTTGACAGTAGTGACACTTGATTTCACCCGAAGCACCTTGCTGGAACTTAGGACGAGAGGAACCAGATTTATGCACGGCAAAAGAAAACTCAAAACCAGGGTTGGAGTGGTCAAGACTATCCTGACTTTTCAGGCGGGTCTCTTCACGCACGAGCTCTCCAAACACAGCATCAATGGTAGCCACATTTCGATGAAGGAGTGAAGCCCTTACCGCCTCAAATTCTGGACGCAGGCGCATGAGAAAATGCATAAGCCGAGAGCGATTTCTCTCCTTGACCATGTCCACCGAGATGGCAGTGGGAGTGAGGGAAGCCATGAGCAAATCATATTCCGTCCAAACTTTTAGAGCCTTCTTGTAATAACTACGGATGTCGAGATCACCTTGAGCAAGGGTAGCGAGCTGAGTTTCCAGCTCAAACTGACGGGAAGCATCATATTGGGAGTTCATGGAACAAATATGTACCCACATATCATGGGCCGAGTCAAACCGACGAAGACCCAACACCGTAGCGGTGTCTGCCGAGGCCAAAAGCCAATGAGTGACCTGTGCATTAGCTGGTGCCCAATCGTCCCTATCCTTGTCAGAAGTGTCAGCAGCAGGCTTAGCATATTTACCGTTCAGGATAGAAAGTAAACGTTTACCTTCGATCATAGTACGGAACTGGAATTCCCATAGGGAGAAGTTTGTTCCATCAAACTTGACAGTGGCAGCATCTAGCTTAGAGGAATCCATGACGACAGCAGAACCAAGAATAGCAGCAACCCAAAAGAGGCCATGACGTACGCGTCGAACAATTAAACAGAAAGACAAGCAGCCACAGAAAGACAAGCAGCCGCCAAATAAAATGACCAGCAGCAGCTCAAATAAAAGGACCAGGAGCAACTCAAATAAAAGGACCAGCAGGGACGCAAAAAAGGAAGCCGGAGATGCGTCGATCAGGGAGAAGGAATACCAGCAGCGACGTGAAGGCCAAAAGAGGCGCTGGCCATAAAAGAACCAACAGCAACAAAAGATCACCAGTGAGCTGCGACAACAACCCTAATAGCCGGATGTGATCGAACAACAGACCCAAGAGGGTGGAAAACCGGATGAAGAGCTTCAATCGACAGGCTCTGATACCATGTCAAATAATCAAGCAGAATCGAAAGAACACAAGAATTTTTTTAACGTGGTATCGTCAGTATGATACTAGTCCACGGAGAGGATCTCCCTCTCAGGTTTGGTTTTCTTATTTCGTTAAATTGAGAGTACAGATTACAACGATATAAATAGGTTGTAATTACAACCCTAATCCGAATGGCTATTTACAACATGATACCCATAATTAACACAAGCGTGCAAGATAGACATTCACTAGACCAATTATCACACATCAAATGCTCATTCGCTCAAGCAACCAAGAGTAGACATCAGGGGCTCACTTGTCTAAGCTTCAAGATTAAATGCCCATGTAACCATACATTATTTACTAAACTTTGTTGAACTCAATGGTCACCGGACTCGGCATCACGTGGGGTCCAAATCGCTATCTACGAACCTTTGGTCGTAACGTGTTGGGACTTTAGAATCCTAATTTCTATCTTAAACTAAAAAGTGGTATGACTAATCATTTAGCAATTGATTTTATACATTATGTGTACCAAATAACACACAAAACCCATACAACCAACCATACATAAAATTTAGGGTAATGTCTATTTTTTATCCAAACCTTTTTCAGATTCTTTTATTTTATCCAAACCTATTAAAATGCTATTAATTATCCAAATCTTTCGTAATGAATCAAAATATTAGCCATTTTTACGTTATCGTTATTAATTTTGTAACTCTTTTCTTAGTTAAAATACTAAAATTTTGTAATGTTGACCTTCATGTGTCTTTTCCAAATCAGTATCATGTTGCCAAGTCAATATTACTAACAAAATTGCTAACTGAAAGTTAACATTTGGTTAATTCTTAGTATTTTGATAGATTTGGCTAATAAAAAAGAATCCGAAAAAGATTTGGATAAAAAATAGACATTGCCCTAAAATTTATATTTTCATAGCTATCCCATTTTTCCCACTAACTTGGGAATATATCCAAAAAAAAGCCTCCCATTCCTCAAAGAGGAGAGGTAGAGACTAGAGATTGAGTGGTGGCGATGCTAATATTGCACTCAAATATGCTCTTTGACTATCTTTACTCGTATGGGATATTGACCAAACAATAATGTAAAACCACACCATAGAATTATCTATATTTTCACAATAGTACTCAATTTGGGCCCTCAATTTAGGAGAAAAGTACTTTAGGCGCAAAATTTTTTAAAGAAAAGGAAACCCTTTTTGTATGTGGAAAAAGATACTTATGTTATAGAGAGAGGGAGGGAGTTAAGGTCTCTTTAGTGACCAAGTGATAAGAAGACAATTATATTGTTGGACAAGAGAAAGATTGTTTGATACTAAAAACTAATTTTAATAATCATGACTCCATATGCTCCTCTCTTTTTCCCCCTCCTTTTTTGTTTGTTTAGTTGCTTAATTATTGTGTTTCAGAACAATCTAAGAGTAACTCTAACCTGCACGGTTAGTTACAAACAAGCAATCATTAACTGTAAATTTTTTACTCATAGTAAATACGAGTACATCTTTGGGATTTCAAAGAGTTTCAAAGAAGCACTCAAAACTTCATATATATTCACATGAAAAGAGACCTTCTTTGTTTTGGTAAGCTTGTTTCTCGAGCAAAATGAGACCTTTTTTTCTGGGTCTGACCCAAATCGAATTATCCTCTGCTCAATACATCAAAACACCTACGGAACCTAGGGATATCGCCTTATCATTAGGAGGGGTCAACTCTCTCGTGCTACAAAATCCTTTATGTGCTCCATGACCAATTAAGAACGACGAAACATTATACTGAAGCACAGTTATGAAATGCGGGATTCATTTTGGGCAACCACAAATCTAACAACATTACATACGAGTAAATTTTATCGGTTGTCCTCAAAAGGAGACGGTATACGAGAGAATTAGATACCATGATCAAGATGAATTTTCCATGGCCAACCTAGCTAGATGTTCTTATTGTAGACTACTTTGGGTAATTCTGCACAAGCAAAACAGGGGAACAAAGGGAGGGAAAAGCAGAGAAAGGAAGAGATAGGGGGCAAAGGCAATTCCATATCCCCCACAGAGAAAGGTGGAGGGAAAGTGAACCGGGAAAAAAAGCTCTTTTTGTTCACCATGCGATGATGAGGGTGATGATCATCATAATGCCTGCAATCCCCAACAGCAGCAAGCACCAATACCACCACTAGCACCCTCTCCAAAAAGACAACACTCTGTTCTCTCAAACTTCAAAGCCTCTCTGTTTCCTAGTTCGACCTATCTTAGAATAAAAGAGGGGGCAAAATGAGCAATCTCAGCCCCAGTTACCAATCTGACCCAATGCAATCATGGTGAAACCCCAAGATAAGGAGAAGGGAATTATCTGGAGAAGCTTGGTTTTGGAGCTATGGCGAACAAGTGTGGTTGTTGGTCTGTTCTAAAACGAGGAGTTAAAACCGCTGCTTGCTCATCCTCTGCTGCCAGAGACTCTGCCAACGCCATCCCTCGCACTAGCCTTGTTTACGATGCTGGTAAGAGAAGTTAATTCCTCTGTTTCCTCGTTGAGCTCTGTCTCTCTCTGTTTTTCCTTTCCATTACAGTAAATCACCGTGTCCCTTAGTAGAGCTTCATTTCATTCACAGAGATGATTTTTGAATTGGGTTTTGATCGATTGTTCGGAAAACGGAGAATTTCGGATCAAATTAGAGTAAAGCGACTTCCTTTTTTCTTCCTTCTTTTGTGACTGTAAAAACACTCTGTTTTTCCTTAAGCTGCAGCTACAGAGACGAGGTACTTGAACGCCAGCAACCGAGAGCTCTGCGCGCCGAACGAAGCAAAACTCTCCTCTGACAATCCCGATCCGCCGCCGGATGAGGGGAAGCCTCCCCGGCCGCTGCTGCAGTTCACCTTCCAGGAGCTGAAATCGGCGACGGGGAATTTCAGGCCGGACAGCATTCTAGGCGAAGGCGGGTTCGGGTACGTGTTCAAAGGCTGGATAGAGGAGAACGGTACTGGTCCGGCGAAACCAGGGTCCGGAATCACGGTGGCGGTCAAGAGCTTGAAGCCTGACGGCCTTCAAGGACACAGAGAATGGGTGGTCAGTTAAAGAATGAAGAATCCTATTCGCCACCGTACACTCCTCTGTTCTTGATTATGACTTTATTTTTATGCAGGCTGAAGTGGATTTTCTAGGGCAGCTGCACCACCAAAATTTGGTGAAGCTGATTGGGTATTGCATTGAAGATGACCAGAGGCTGCTTGTTTATGAGTTCATGACAAGAGGGAGCCTTGAGAATCATCTCTTCAGAAGTTAGTTTCTGTCAGGATTTCTTGTTTAGAAACTTTGGTTTGTTAACCATGTGAAGCAGAGGAAAGCTGATGGTGGTGTCATAATTCTGTCTTGCCTTTGAAGGGACAATACCTTTGCCATGGGTTAAGAGGATCAAGATTGCACTTGGAGCAGCGAAAGGATTGGCTTTCCTCCATGGAGGCCCTGAACCAGTCATCTACAGAGACTTCAAGACCTCCAACATTCTGCTTGATTCAGTATGTCTGATTGCTGTCTACCTACCTGCAATATGCTTTTTTAGGTTTCATCAATGGGGTATCCCTTAGGAGGCTGAGTGATGTATATATGCATAGTGTCCTCATCGGTGTTAGTAAATGATATAAGATTTATAATCGAACATCTAGCTATACTTCAGATTATAGGGACCAGTTGATCTATGACATGGTGTCATAACTTTTTATGATCGAGATGTCTTTTGTTCGAATTCCGACGATCCTCTTTGATAAGCACATGGTATTTATGCATGTCCAAACTTTAAGCCAATATGAGTTAGCTTTCGTTTGAGAAAACATGTTAGTACATGGTAAAAGATGCATAATTGAACCTCTCCAAATAACTAGTGAGATCAACTAGTCCTTGATAGTCATATCTCATTTCGTGCAATAATATTCTTTCCAATAGAAAGATTGAAGGTATGTGAAGTGTGATCCAACAACTTCAACATTTTTGTTTCCTCTTGATTTCAGGAGTACAATGCAAAGCTATCGGATTTCGGCCTGGCCAAAGCAGGTCCCCAAGGAGACAAGACTCACGTCTCGACTCGAGTTGTGGGGACTTACGGCTACGCTGCTCCAGAGTACGTCATGACAGGCCACTTGACATCGAAGAGCGACGTGTACAGTTTCGGAGTAGTCCTTCTGGAGATCCTAACAGGGAGGAGATCCATGGACAAGAAACGACCGAGTGGAGAGCAAAACCTAGTGGCTTGGGCAAGACCCTACTTAGCAGACAAGAGGAAGCTCTACCAACTAGTGGATCCTCGCCTCGAGCTCAACTACTCGATCAAGGCGGTCCAAAAGGTCTCTCAGCTAGCCCACAATTGCCTGGGCCGAGACCCGAAGTCGAGACCCACCATGGATGAGGTGGTGAAGATGCTCACTCCTTTGCTCGACCTAGGCGACCTTGCCATCCTGTCTTACCACCATACTAGGTTGTCACAACAGGGGAGGAGAACAAAGAAGAAGTCTAATGAAGGGCTTCATCATCATGGTCATCGGTTGATTAGTAATGTTAATGGCTCGTCGAAGAGCTTGATGATGGTTAGGGGCTCTCCCTTGAATGCTTCTGGCAAGGAGCAGAGATGTAAGTGATTGATTGGGTTGGGTTGATTTGGTGAAAATTTGATTGTTGTTTTTGTTTTGGGGTCTTGAGCCAGGATTCAAGGCATACTTGCAGTTTGATTTGCTTGACAATTTGCTTGGTGGTGTAACTAAGAGAGATGATGAAAACATATGTAATTTGTATCCTTGTAATTAGGGCTGCAAGTCTGATCATAGATACCCATTGATCCGACTTGAGTCGATCTTGAGAGTCGGGCTGAGTTAGTCTGTCTACAGGATTAGGTTAGGGTCGGGTTATGTTTTGGCTCTGAAAGGATCGAGTCAGACAACTTTTTGGCCCTATGACCATAGCAACTAATGATTTGAAATTACCGGGCATGATAACATTGCTTAAAAAAATCCTTTCTTTTTGCTCATTCCTCATACCAAACAGGTAGGACATGTTTGTGAAGTCTTAAAATTTCATGTACTATAATGCAAGGAAAAAACATAGAGGAACTAAAATGTAATTTTACCACCAAATTTTTTGCATATTTTTGTAAAAAAGTGAGGTACTAAATTGTAAGAAAATAAGTTGGCTATCAAAATATAATTAAAAAAATCATTTTGTTCATTGATTTGACCCGTCTAGCCCGAGAGGGTAGCACAGGATAGAGGGAAAAATAGGAGCGAGGTGAGTCCGTTTTAGAAATTGAGCGCCCAAAATCGGGCGAGACAGGACTGAACAAAATACAAGGTCAGAGGTGGGTCTGGCTCAGTTTCAGACCTACATGTAACTACAGGTTGAAGTACAACCGACCTTTAACTTGTAAAGCAAATGAAGATTATATCATACAAATTAACCACGATCATTAACATAAGAAAAATACTATTATAGGTAATGTTGAACTCAAGATTTGAACCGTTTTCATCTCGAATTCAAGATTGTCACAAAGAGGATAGAAATAACACAATTATACTACATTTTCTAGAGCAAGAACATTGGAGATAACTTTTTCTGACCAACAGATTTGTCCATTGGAAACCCTAGCTAGATGGTACATTATATGCTGCATGTCCCCATATAGCTGGAATCTTCTTATCTTAGGCTCTGCAATAATTCCTTTTTATTTTATTTTTTTGCCCCACAAGAGTACCTTTATTCCCAAGAACACCATGAGTGAATTAGCATTCTCTCTGCTTCGGCAAAACTACTCGATCGTTCATGATCAGATGCTGAAAATGACCGATGGAGGGATTTTGCTACATCTAGCTAGCATGCAGCTTAATTATTATGCCATGCAATGATATGGAGATTTCCTCGCCTGCCCACCTGAGCTTGAAGGGGAATCTTATTGCTTTCCTGGGCTTAATTAGGCCGGTTCTGATCATGACCTCTACACTGATCATTTGGTAGCAAGGTTTGCCATCAAATTGGATATTAAGAAAGTTGATGATGATGATGCGTGTAGGTTATATTGTCCCGATGGGTTTGAAGTTTGCACCGGTTAATAATTAAATGGGATAGTCAAATTTGGAACGGTAGAAGATCCTCTGAATTACAAAAGCTATAACTTTATGTCAAAGAACCAGATACGGTTACAACAAGTCAAATCATTTGGAGGTATTCAATTATCGATCATATACCACTTAGTAACAATAACAACTGTTGGCAACTCACAAAACTGGATGAGATATTTACAAAAAAGGTTGGTTACAGTTCTTATGTACTCATGAGTATGACCTAGCTATGATCCTAGCTACCAAACACAGTCAGCCAACAAAACCATGAAGAATTTAGGCACACCAACACCAATTTTAGTGAAGATGATCATCAAGATCAGGTCGGTCTTTGTTGCAGTTGATGATCAAGTGGTCGTTGGCCTTCATCCAGTTGATATACTGCTGGATCTCAATAAAGATGTACTATACCACTGATCAGTACTGCACCAGATTGCTCCGGTTGCACCATGATCTGCTTGCCTCGAAGATTCTGCTACTCCAAAGAAGGTAAATTCAGTGGCGAAGCCGGAAATCTGAGTGAGTTGGGGAAAAAAAAACATGATGCTCAACGCTTTGCACCTCGATAGCCTCGGGGGTCAATGACCTAATAACAACTGTCCAATCCTGTGGACAACACACTCTCCGCATTGAAATCCTGTCATTAAGAAGAAGCAGCAAAAAACAAACTCGTTTTCCTAGGGATGCTAATTGTATTCATAATGTTGCATCCAGCACAATGGGAGTAGCTAGCTAGATAGATAGATAGAGTAGTATACCAGTTTCTGATGAACATACGAGCCCAAGTCGATCGCAACACCTCTCGTGATAATAACTCGATAAGAAAGCATACCAGCAAGAGTCCCTCCGATTGGGGGGAGACATCCTTCAAAAAAACTGAAATGATACAGAGAAAATAAGCATGGTCGCTCTGCTGTGCAGAGATGACACGCATAAATCGAGATAAACAAATGCACATACACGACCCGACCCTAGCCAGCTATAGCATGCAATGAAGGATTCAGATGGAAACCCTTCTAACGTATTGAAACTAATGAAATGTAGCTAAAACAGCACATAATGGGATTCAAAGGTTTTGGATGGAGGAAAAGCTGATCATCATCATGCATCCATTGATGCCATGTATATATATAGAGCAGGAACAAGAGACCAGAAAAGTGATATTGGCGCGGCTCAATCTGAGATCGTATTTTACTGTAATATAACAATCATCACTATGCTCATCATCAGCTTTCCTTCCAATAATCTTCGTACAAAAATCCGGCCTTCGGATTGAACCCCACCAATATCGCCTTTCTTCGTGCTTCCGAAAAAAAGCACAGCATCAATTAATTACCATGATCGGTCAAGTGGAGGGATCACTGCAGCTAATTGGTACGTACAATGTTACCAAACAAGCTAATCATTCATCAAAAGTGCAGTCCAAAACTAATTATGTATACATATGCATGGTCCCAATGAGAAAGAAAGAAAGAAAGAGATGGATGGATTGATGATATGAATTTGGTGGAGTAGATGGGTAATGGAAGAGGTGGGTGGGTGAGAAGGTGACTAATGAGTTGGTGTTTGTTTGTTTGGTGATTATTATGTGTATGATAATTTTGTGTGGGGATATATAGTCTAATTGGGTCAAGTGGGTGGGAGAGAGATCTTCCTAGCTAACAAAATCATCATAATCATATTATTCCCATAATTCAAAAATGCCAAACAAGTAATAACAATTCCATGAACTTGGTCAATTCAAATCAAAAGACCACCACCACCTTTTCCTAAATTTTCCAAATCCAAAAATGATGAAATAGTGGTACATTCATATTTGACCAAAAGAAGAATATGAAAGTTTGAAGAACTTTTTTTGACTTTACGATGGTCCGGACCCTTTCATTGATCAAAGCAGATGTATATGAACCATAATTTCTGTTATTATCGAACTAAAAATAGATCAATGAAAATAACAAAATTTGAAATCAATATCATCACATTCTATCGCGAAACCGATATGCGTTTATCATCAACCTTTCTACGATGAGAACTGAACACGAGGATATCAGCCAAAACACAAGTAGAAAGATGTAGAGATGAAGTTTTACAAAACTATATGCCAACTTGAGCCATCCATAACGGGAAAACCCTATAAACCAAAGGTGATTAGGGTTTTGCTGATCAGTGGCTATATATAGCTATGGAAAACGATAATAAAACAGTACTATACTGCAAAATCGAATGAAACCCTCCCACCCAATCGATGTAACAGCAACCAAACATGTATATGAGATGGATAGAAAAGAGTGGTGGAGAAAGGGTGAAGGCTGCCGGCGGGTGGCCGGAGAGAAGGCGGTGGTGGCAATGGATGAAGGGAAATGGGCCGGAGGGGGAGAAATATATGTATAGAGGCGGTGGGCAAATGAAATGAGTGATCCTTCCTTGGGATGTGGGTTTGAAGAAGAAGAAGAAGAAGAAGGTGGCGAGTGCGTGGAATGATTTGATTAGTAGTTTCTCTTTCGTTTCTTGGTGGTAGGGTTTCTTGCTAGTTTTTTTATATATGTAAACAAACCCCAAATCATGTAGAATTAGAAGTAGTTGAACAAATAGTATCAAATGATATCCTTTCCTTGATGAGATAAAATAACAATTTTTTTTCAAATTTTGGAATAATATTTAAGTAGACCCAAAATAAAAATTTGCATTTCATAGAAAGGAAATCAAGACTCTAGAAGAAGAAGAAAAAATTCAGTAAGAAGAAGTAAAAAAAAAAATCTACGAGAACTCAAACTTTTAACTATCGGCAAAATTATAATTACATTATTAATTATCATGAAAACAAAACTTCTCACTTTAGTAACCAAACAATAAAAGTTATTTATCTGCATCCAACTGCATATTAGTGTTATCTTACGTGGACGTTATTATTTACTATCCGACTCCAAATACCGTCCGATGTTTTGCATGTCATGATATAATTAAATTAGTAAATTAGAATTATTTTGATCATTTACAATTACCGTCATTCATTCTTTGTTATTTTATAATGTACCTCCTTGTAAATCTCTCAAATTTACCCTATTACAATATACATAAATACATATATATTCTATTTCATGCTTAGTTTCTACTCAATTGAAGAAGGAAAAAAAATAGAATTCAAAGCTCCATGCCACGCTTGAAAAAGAAAAATAATAAAGAAATGTAGACCAAGGAAGTGGGGAAGAAAATCAAAGAAAAATTATATTAATCATACACCAAACCCAAAAACAACAACCCAACCGCCTGGCCCCCTTTTCCTTCATTCTGCTCCCCTTTCCTTATTTCTTTCCCTTTTTTCTCACTTTGCTCTAATTAATGGTTGTTCCTTCTTTCCTCCTATTACATATTTCTTAGAAAACCACCTTTTCCATAGTTGAATCTAGGAGTAACAATGAATAGGAGGACATGGTAGGTATCTCTATAAAGTATATGTTTTTACTTTTTGTGGTTAAGTATGAGTAAAGTTGGATAAAATCTTTATGAATACAGGTTGACCTATCTTAATACGTGATCAAAGAAACCCAAAACGCATTTAATGCACATTGCTTGAAGGGTTCGACAATATCCGTAAGAAATGAGTTGAATTTTGATAAGACTGCAGTGGTTAGATCGAAATTGTTATCCTGCCTAGCTAATTTTATATATCATGATCATTAGTGGTTTAAATGTTTGGAAAAAGGAAAAAGAGAGCATGGTCAAGGAGGGAATAGGATAGTTGGCTTTACATGTATAATTGATTAGTATAATTAGTGTCCTCCTCCATGACAGGACAACCTTTGAATGGAGAAATAAAGGGAGGAGTAGTACTAATTCAAAATGTTTTAAATGTCTACATACTTAAATATATGATGCTGATGCACCTCATCATGATGATTACTGAAATCCTTAATTA